GAGTGTCCGCTTGGGTCAAATAATTAGCCCTAATTCCATTAAATCATTTTAGGAACCAATTTATTTTTGGTTTAGGTCATTTCGGGTATAAGGTAATTATCGTTCGGGTCACTTCATATATCATGTCTCTTCGGGTCAAAATCTAGTCAGGTAACTTCGGGTATCGAATTGGGTCACTTGGGGTATCGGGTTTGTTCGGGTCAATCAATTCGAGTTAAAATTAGGTTGGTTCACTTCGGGTTTTGAATAGGGTTACTTCGGGTATTGAATCAATTTCGAGTCGAGTGCAGTCGACACGAGTACGTATTAGGTCACGTTCGGGTCAACTCCACTTTGGGTTGGGTCGGGTAAGTTCGGGTTCGGGTATAAATCTATGAATTGGTTACTTCTGTTTCTATAATTTCAACAAATATTTTTACACACTTTATATAATCACTATCAACATATCTAATGTAATTTTAGAATATATATCTAATATAATTTTAGATTAGTATAGAGTTTCAAAATTATGAATATACGAAACTAAAGTAAGATTAAATTAACTCAGATTAAAAAATATATCTATTGTATTTTTTTCTAAAAAATAGTTAAAAATATATTCCTAGAAAAATTTAAATTCGGTACAATTTTAAAATATTTCTTTTAATAACATAGATATCTAATGAAATTTTATAAATAATATTCTCATTTCTATAATCATTAAATTTTCACATTTATTTTGTGTGTAATTAGTGGATGAATTATGTATTTTATTCTTATTAATCTTAATACATATCTTTTATTCCTAAATTATTAATTAATATTCATACTTGGCCTATATATTTGTGTTGTTATTGAATCATTTGTTGGCTATGTGAGTATTATGTAATAGTATTTGGTACAATGCTTAGCTTAGGAAAATATAGATAGGTGGATAAGATATATGGTTATTATTGTGTATATAGATTTGGTGAATGCGACGGGTAAAACAGGTATTAAATTGTGTAACTACTAGAGCGGATGGTATAACAAGATAATTTTAGTTTTTTGTATTCTTTATGGGAGATAAAAAAAAAATTAGTCTACTTCTCTTACAAAGTATAAGTTATGTGGAGCATTATTCATTGATTTTTCAATTAATAAAAGAATCTTGCTAACGAACACCCTTGGGGCATTAGATAAGCATTTAAAATACTTCTTTAGGTGGTATTTAATTTGGGTATGTATGATAAAATACGCATCGATCGGTGAAATTAGTGTTCATTTTTATTATATATTTCTACTCTTAGTTATCTTATCCAACGCCCCCGAATCGTTTGTTAGATTTTGCCTTAATTAATAAAATAACATTATAAAAAAGTAAAAGGGAATAAAATTGAATAAAAGAAATGCAAATGACTTCAAATAATATTGAAATCACATTCCTTAATTTTATACCGGCCATTAATGCAACTGAATTTTTTTTTAAAATAATATTCAAATCACATTCCTGAATAAAATTTTTGACAATGTCCACCAACAGTACAATTGTTCTCGTTTTAGTAATAATCACCAACAGTTTTTCTCATTGAAATTTACCACCTATAGTTTTCCAAAATACTAGAACTTCCCACCAGACCGACCAAACACTCTAAAGTGACGTCACATTGGGCCCCACTAACGGTCTTCATCATTTTCCCCTTTCTTTCTTCCTTCTTCTCACTATTTCACTTTTTCTTCTGCCATTTCATTTCTAATTGGGGGTAAAACTTGAAATTGATTTTACAAAAACAAAATCTAAGGTTTCAAAAACACTCCAATGATTCCACGGAGAAAGGTATTTTGTTTAATTACTGGGCTTGACTACTTAATATAATTTGGGGGTTTTCAATTGAAATTAGGGTTTAGGGTTTTTAATTTGGGAATTTGGTTATGGGTCGAATTTAATCAACATTTTGTGAAATAATTATGGGGATTTTTTTAATCATTTTGTTGGGAGGGGGGTTATTTTTTTTTCAATTTAGACTTCAATAATGGTTGCAATTATAGTTGTACGGTTTATAGGGTTTACCATTGTCAATAAAAATAGTCGTTTTACCTTGAAATATCTCTAATTCGCGCTGAGCTTGATAGAAAAATCCTCCAAACCTTGGTCCCCCTCCAATGTTGTCGTTTTTGTGAAGTTTCGGTATGTTCTGTGCTAATCAAGGTACAATTTAGAAATATGTTTTTTTTTTCCAATCTGGTGGGAAGTTTTAATGTTTAAGAAAATAGTAGGTGGTAAAATTCCAAAAAAATAAAAAATTGTTGGGGTTATTACTAAAACACCAATAATTGTTGGTAGTTATTGTCAAAAAATCCACATAAATGAACCCTTTATTACTAATTGTTGAATTATCTTTGTTTTTTTTCCTACTAGATTTTGACAATTAGTAATAAAGGGTTCATTTATGTGGATTTTTTGACAATAACTACCAACAATTATAAATGAATTATAAAAAAATCTATTACGAGTCAAAAACAGGATGTTGGAGGGATACTTGTCCTCTTCTTGTTTTTCCTGTTTTAAATAATTTTTTAAATAATTGTTTTCAAATATATATATATATATATATATATATTAAAATAGAAATTCAATGAAATATCTCTTCTACATCTCTTTCATCCCAATCCCCTAACCATGCCTATTCAAGAAAATAATTTATTGGATCAAAATGTTAAATATATATATATATATATATATATATATAACGAAAATTCAATAAAATATCTCTTCCGACCGAATTTACAAATGTATACTAATCTTTTAAAACAGGAAATTTAAAGGACACTTGTCCTCTTCATGCGTTTATGACTTTTGCTTTATTTTTATTTTTTTTGTTTGTTTTCTCTCTTTTGTTTCAACTAAAGTGTAAAAAAATAAAATAAGATAAAATAAAATAAAACCAAATTAAAAAAAAAAACTCCTAAATGATTCAATCCCCTCAAAAAGAGACATCAATTTTCATTTGTGTCTCTTGGGTTTCACTAAATTTGTTTATATATATAAATTTTCAATCACACTAAAAAATTAATATTAGTTTATCTTCCCCTCTCTAAATTTTTACGCTATCTCCATTTACCCTAACTCTACCATTTCTCTCTTTCATCCTAAATCTACAATTTGTATTAAGTAATAAAAAAAAAAATTATTATCAAGATGTATATATACAAACTTCAAAATATAATAGGGGTATTGAATTTATGGGAGCAATCAAACGTATGTTTTCTCAACTTTATTTATAATTCATTTTTTTTTTTCAAATTTCTTTTCACTTTTTTGTTGCTTTGGTAAATAATCTTTTTTTAACAAATTGCGCTTTGAATTTTGTCTAGGTTTTTATAAAACTTTGTATTTTTTTCCTTTTTCAATGTTCAAAGATAATTTTTTTCTATGAATTTTAATATTTTTAAAATTTTCACTTTTTTTTTTCAGATCTCGATTTTTATTAAGTTTATGTAGGGTTTTAATATTTTTCTATTTTTTTTCTGAAATTTGTTTTTGGATTTTTAGGTGATTGGTGTTTAATCGTTTTTTTAAGAAGAATTGTGTATCAGTATTTTGTTTGGATTTCTTAAAAGTTTTGTATAATTAATTTTCTTTTACAATATTTAAATATAGAGTTTTTATAATTCTATTTTCAAATTTTTTTTGCTATTTTGCTATATATATTTTCTTTTCATTTTTTAAGATCTCAATTTAAATTTATTTATTTTTTACTTCATTTTTGTCTATGATTTTTGTTTATTGTGTTTTTAGTACTGTTTTTGTAAATTTGAACTAGATTTTGCAAAACAGTTTTTTTTTTGTGATCTAATTTTAGTTACGTTTTTAAATTGTTATTTCCATTTATTGCTAACATGATGTTTTTCATGTGGCAAAGTAGTTATTTGTATTCTTTCCTTGATGCTACATTATACTTTCATTATATAACAAAATTACGAGTACCTATTTTTAATGTTCAAAATGTTCGGTTGGACAAAAGCTAGACTCTTTATTGAGTTTTTTTTCCTTTTTTTTTTTTGGTAAAATCTTTTTCTAAATTTACATTCTACTCCACTATATATTTTCTCTTTAATAATCAATTTTGATTTTCTTTTCTATTTCTTGTAAGTAATGTTGATTTGATTTATTTGGTGATTTTATGTGTTTGCAGATGAAAAATTCAATATTCAACAAAAGAACAATGTATTTGGATGGAAACTACAATATATCAATTTTGTGAAGAGACAATTGAAAGTATTTAATAAGAATTTCATATGATTGGTTTTGTACAAATAATTTTATTTTCATTGTACTCTCATACCGTTTCTTTTTTGAAAGAATAGTGTTTCTTGATATTAACTAAAATAAAATAAATAATAAAAACCTTAATCACAAGTATTAGTGTTTGATTATTGTTTAATGATTTTATTATAAATTATTTTGTATTTATCAATTTATTATTTAATGCATCCATATGTAGGTAGGCTAGCTAATGTTTTCCATCACATATAAGTTGGGTTTGGCTTAAACCTACAAGTATTAGTAGACGGGTTTTTTTTTTTGCTTGATGCAATTTGTATTTCTTACATATAATATGATGTATTTTTATTTTGGATTAGAAAATCTCGCATTACATTTACGTAGTATTTTATGTTACTAACAAAATGCAATATAATATATATTTACATATGTTTTGATTTAAAAAAAGCCTAAGAACAATTTAAACACACTAATAAAATTCTTTAATTGAAAAACAATATACTTTCTATTAAACCAACAAGATTAACTTGTACATCGCATAGGCTAAATACTAGTTTAATTTATATTCCGTGTATCTTATGGAACATTAATTTTCTTAAAACTTTGTGTACTTGTATAATATTCCAATTATTGCGAATAGGGAGAGTATTATTTTAGGATAATTAAAAAAAAACTCGTTTTTATTTTTGAAAACCGGCTAATTTCCTTCCGCCGACCTAAGAAAATATAAAGAGGAATATAAAAAGGGCATCCGTCACGAAATTTCTCTCGAATATTCGTTTACGACTCGTTGTTTTGCTGGGTTAAGTAGCGTCAACGACTTTTGTTCTTTCTTTCCTTCGCACTTTCTCTCTCCTCATCTTATCGTCGACGATTACTCTTGCGATTTCCAATTTGGTGGCTCTTGCGATTTCATCTGATAATCTCTTTCATCGTTGTTTGGTAAGATCTTCGGCTACCTTTGATTTCTGTCTAATAATTCTTGTTCAAATTGAGGAAAACCGCTGCGATTTTCTAGGGTTTTGCCATCGATTTTTATTTAACATCGATTTCTCCCAGATCTGGGAATTCTAAGGCTACATACCCTTTGTTCTTCATCAATTTCATTGTGATATCATTGATTTTGGATTTTAATCGTCTGTAATTGAACGATTTCGTTGTTTAGGGTTCTAAAAAATTTCTCAGTGTTGAGAATTAGGTTTAGGGATTTCTGATCCTTCAATTGTTTTTCTTTTTCTCGTTAATTGAGGTAATTTTTGTGTGTGCTGATATTATGGCGGCTGGTAGAATCAATGTGTCAAGGAGTTTAGATCTTTCTCATGTTTCAAGAAAAACCTCTGGGGTTCATGCTCATGGTGTTTTTGATTTTGGGGCTAAGGTTAGGTCTAATTCTGAAGTTTATGGAGATTTGGAATATGTGGGTGGAAAGAGGGGTGTGTTTGAGGATGATAGCCGTGATAGATGTAACGAAGCCATGGAATTTGATGACGGGATTGTGCTTTCCCCTCTTCAGAAGAGGAGGAAGTGCTCTCCTGTTATGAACCTTGATGATGATCAGGAGCCGGGACAGCTTGACGAAGAGGACTTTTCTCGTGCGCCTAATATCATGATGTCTCGTTGGGCGAATGATGATGACCTGGAGGAGGGTAGGAGCGAAGAGAAGGGTGGAGTTGTTTTTAAAGGGGACGATAGGAGCGAAGAGAAGGGTGGAGTTGTTTTTAAAGGGGACGAGTCGAAGGGAAGAAGGTCGAGTCCTGAGAGTGGGGTTACCCAAAAAGAGAGTTCTGATTGTTCTGGAGGTAGGTCTTCTGGGTCTGATGGAGGATGTGTGCGGAGATACTATAGTGAAGGTGAATGTTCGGAAAGCGAATTGGAGGGTGATGAATTGATGGAGATTGATGTGAGTGATGATGAGGACATTGAGGCTGGAGTTGCCGGGCAAGGAAGGAGAAATATGCTGCAAGGTTGTAGAACTGTGTTTGATTACGAAAAACTTGGTAAAATTAGTGAGGGTAGCTATGGTATTGTATACAAAGCAAAGGACAAGGAGAGTGGTGAGATGGTTGCGTTGAAGAAGATGAAGTTGGGAAATCAAAGAGAGGGTTTCCCAGTGTATTATTTGAGGGAAATTAATACTCTTATGTCCTTAAACCACCCTTCAATTGTAAATGTGCGAGAAGTGGTGGTGGATGAAAGCGCCGAGGGCTTTGATAACATTTACATGGTGATGGACTATGTGGAGCATGATCTTAAGGCGCTGATGCAGGCAAGGAAGCAACATTTTAGGCAGAGTGAAGTGAAGTGCTTGATGCTTCAACTTTTGGAGGGTGTTAGTTATCTTCATGATAATTGGGTTCTTCATAGAGATTTAAAGACATCAAATCTCTTGTTAAATAATTTGGGCGAGCTGAAAATATGTGATTTTGGAATGGCACGCCAGTATGGTAGCCCGTTGAAGCCTTATACTTCACTGGTGGTTACTCTTTGGTACAGGTAGAGTTGCTGCTCTTTATTTTTCCCTCTTCTGAAATAATGATGTATTTTGTTTGGTGCTTTACTTTAGTCTGCTAATTGTATGTGATTGTGTTTTGTTGTGTTTGCAGGGCTCCTGAACTTCTTCTAGGAGCTAAGGAGTACTCAACAGCTGTGGATTTGTGGTCAGTGGGTTGCATAATGGCTGAATTGCTGACCAATAAACCATTATTTGATGGAAAAACTGAGTTAGAGCAGCTTGACAAGGTAGGCATATATGTTCCTTTTATTTTGCCATCTTTCAATAGGTAGTCTTCTCTTTTGAGTGCTTGATTATTTAATTTGTTTATGGCTATATTGCAGATATTCAGAACACTGGGCACGCCTAATGACAAAATTTGGCCGAAGTATTCTCAATTGCCTGGGATCAAAGCCAACTTTGTTCAACAACCGTGAGTATATGCTGTCATACTGTTTCATTTAGTTGTACTCTTATGGCAGTTTCCTTGTTTAAGATGTTGCTCCTAAGTTCTAACTATGTTATCTTTATTCTGGTTTCAGGTATAATCAATTACATAAGAAGTTCCCTCGTGCTTCTTTTACAGGCTCTCCAGCACTTTCTGATTCTGGGCTTGACTTGCTGAGCCGGTTATTGACCTATGACCCTGAAATGGTATGTCTGCTTTCAAAATACTCACAGGATGCTCTAGTTTTATTTATATGTTCTTGTTTTGAGATCTTAAATTGTTCTAATTTGAGTTCTGTTCCTTTTGTTTTTGCAGAGGATAACAGCAAAAGAGGCCCTCAGCCATCCCTGGTTCCAAGAGGTTCCTCTTCCCAACTCTAAAGAGTTCATGCCTTCTTTCCCAGCAGACAAGGTAGTTCTGGCAAGATAAGGCTTGATGCTTGACATTGTCTTATCATTGATCATAGTGGGTTCTCTTATCATGTCTCTGTGGACCTCACCTGGCAGTATTAGGCATCTATGGCTGGTTTTTTTGAGGCTGGTTGAATGACTGTCTATTGGAGGGGTGGCAAGCTGGGGTTGGACAGATTTGGAACATGCAGTGAAGGGGAAGTGAAATATGCATTATTGTTTCTGGGATCTATTACTTCCTGTGTCTCTGTTGTGTTTTTACAGATACAGTCAGGGCACGTTGCTGTGGGGTTTGCAGCAAATGTTGGCTATGATGTGCAGATGTACTGCTATGATGTTGAATTGGTTGTTTCGTATATGAATACAGGAAGTAGCAGATTTTTTTTGACTGATATTACCTTCCTGAATAGGATTTACTACCATTGTGTCCTGTGCTCTTACAGATCTGAGCCCGTTTTGGAGGTTGGACATAATTAGCCATAGTGATGGAGCAGACTTTGTAATTGAAAAGGAGCTGCATGTCTGAACTCAAAAGAAAAAAAATATGTTTCAGGCACCTGCATGAACATGTAAGGTGTGCAGTAGCAGTTCATTTCTTCGTGAGCTTTTTCTTTCCTCATTTCAATTGTTCCTTGGTCATCATTGTTTTGAGTATTCTTTGATCAATTTTGCTTTTATCTCATACACTAATTGGTGGAGATTTGAAGAAACTTGTAAATATTCCAGTATTTTCATGTACATTCTTCCTTAATTTATAGACTGGCTATGGAGTACCATAAAAATTTATTTATGATCTTTCTGTCATCTTGACTTGTTCTTAATGTTCGACATGCGCTTATTTTTGCAAGAATTGCTGCATTAAATGGGCACTGGAAACTGTTAACCTCATGCCTCAAATAAAGGAGATATGTTTCAAGCTTTTCAGGTATTTACTTGATAATGGATTGCAGATGTGGCAGTGCAATACTGCCATGTTTGAAGTTGCTTTGTGAAACTGTTGTGCTGGCATGTTGTTTATGTTTCTGGTTTTCATCTTTGCCTACATTCTTCCAAGGTTTAAGCGCATGTAAACGTTTAACCCTTTAAGGGCGCCTATACTTGAGCAGCATTGATGTGATCTATATCTAATTTTTCCATAAGATTTTGTATTTTCTGTACATAAGCTATCTTCCACATTAGCTATCATTACATTTGTTGCCGACTACTGCTTCCTAGATCATTAGCACCTCATACGATATGTCAGGTGTTGGCATTATATATTGCAATGTAATAATCTAAAACCGTGTGCTACAAATATAGTACAGGGCTCCATCCATAATAGTTGACCATCTGTAATTTACTGATTATTATGTTTTTTTTGAACTTGTTATTTGATTTATTAATAGAGAAAAATGTACAGCAGGCAGATGTTTGTGGCAGCTTGTTTGGACATTAATAATCCTTTTTTTTGCCTTCTTTGGTCTTTTCTCCTTTGTGTTTGATCGAAACAGAAGAGTTGATATTGAACTGGCGATTCTTCACTCTAGGTTCGTAGTCAATTCCAGGTAACCGTCTGCCGTTCAGCATTATTCGTTGGAGTTGGGCTGATATGTTTAATGCATGGTCTGTCTTCTGCTCTTAGCTGGCTTTCCTTGCATGAATTTGATTATTTGATCCTATTTCCCCTGGATGTGTGAGCTTCACAAGAGATAGACAAACACAGGATCAGCTGGAGCTTTGTACTTCATTTATGGTAAACTGAGGGAGTACTGTATCTATGTTTAACTTGCGATTATTTATTTAGTTTTAGTGGTTTTGCTTTTTTCGTTTCCTGTTTTTTTGGTTGATAACATCAAAGAGGTCATGAGCGAGATTCAGAAGTTTTGGCCGTGACACTTGAACAGCTTGTTACATCAAAGAGACTCTGTAATGCTTTACCAGTACAAACTGTAACTTCTTTACGTACTAAGGTTAGGCCAGCCTCTTCTCTGGGGTGAATACTTTTTTTCCTCTTAATTATATTAATTACAACATTCTGAAGAAGTTAGTATGTATGTCTTTCGGAGTAAGTGAATTAAAGTGAGGATAATTTTTCTTTGAATTTCACCTGGCTTACTTTCGGGCATTGTCCTTCAGTGTATTTTGGTAGATTGATTGAGAGGATGATTCTTCTTGTGGTTCAAGCAATGTTTTGATGCACTATTGTTACAACTTACAAGTGTGCAGACACTAGGAAGCCAAAGTTTCTGCTATCTAATTAAAATTCTAGTGGGAATTTCTCATCAGTGTTTACCTTTTCTGATTGGTGTGGAGATTATTGTGGAAGAATGTGGCGCGGGAGAAAAGAAAATCAGCTTGCGTAAAAATAATTAATTCATGCTGTCACATTTTGGTCTGTTGACACGATTGTAAATTTCAAGCTGTAAAATTAGCTCTGGAAATGAGATTATGTGGATAATAGTCTTACTAATTTGGTATATTTGTTGATCAGTTTGACGAGTTAATATTTGTCGTATACAGTGCATTTTTGTTTATATGCTTAACAGCATAAAGCTCTCAGGTTATATTTCCTTGCCAGCTTGGGTTGCTAGTTTAGGTCTGATAGAATTTGCAATAAAGTTGACAAATTGTAATGCCCAGCTGTCAGAACTTTTATGCTGAAAACTGCACGAGTTGGATTTACTAATAAAAATGCTAGGCAAACAGGGCTTAACACCATCAAATCTCAGCACCTGCTCTTTCCTAATCCAAATTGAAGTCGAATATAAAAGCGGAGTGGGCGGTGATAGAATGTTCTCTCTTAAGTTATCCAAACAAGTTGAGACGGATAATTGCTTTTCATGTATCTATGAGTTCATGTTCTGTTTCTTTTTTCAGATTTGTGATTTTTAGATTTAAAAAAGTCATGTAAAATCTTAGATTACTTAATAAAATTCAATTTTTATTAGTTTTTACAATAGTGTAATTAAAGATGTTTTGTTTGAATTTTTGCATTAGTTAACTTAATAAAAAGAATTGTAATATCTAATTTAGAACAGATGAAGTGTGTAATTAAATTTAAGTGGTTTTGTTTAGTTTATATGGATCCAAACCTTTTCTATTCAATTCAAATTGAATATAAGATCTTTCAATCTGTCTAATCCATCCTTTTAAATACTCCAAATAATGAATTGGACTTTGGTTTTTCTCCAAATAATGAATACCCCAAATTGGATGGGTTTGTGGATGTGGGTGGGTAATTAGAAGGATTTATCAAAGAGTTTTAATCACTTGAGACCAGCAAACACTGTTTTTCTTAAAGCGTATGGTAGAGTATGTGTTGACTTTAAAGCGGCTCTAGACAAGTGAATTGCAAAACTATGCCCGGTATTTACCCGGTAATGTCCGTATTTTAACACGACTTTACAAACATGCCCCTCTTATAAATTTAACCTATTTCACTTTCACCTCCTTTAAACTCTCTATCTTGTTACCCTACCACCCACAGAATATCCACCACCATCGAACACCCAACCCCACCGAACAACCACCCCCACCATCCACCACTCCATGTCATAATATTTTTTAAGAAAATTGCTTTACTCTTCAACGATTAGCATTCCTTCCATGGCATGAACGCCTAGAATATTAAACCTCCCCACCTGCTGAACCCGGGGTACCCTTAGAGGCACCATCCGAGTTTAAAGAATAACAACCCATAGGAGGCGCCATCCATTTGATGAGGGTTTCAACACGAGGTTGCAGGCTATGATTAGAAGCCAATGGATGATCACCAAGCACTCTCCAAAGCGGGACAAAAGAAATTGTCTAACATCAACATGCATGTCTTGAGTTCGATCGAAAGCTATGGCATTCCGCAACCTCCAAATCCACCAAATAGTAGTTGCAAAATAGGTCGGCCAAATTTCTGGAGACATGTCATTGCGGCTTTGGATTTTGATGTTCCTAACTATCCATTGTTTGAGAGAACCTGAGCGGAAATCAGTAGCATTTGCAGCGCCCCCCCCCCCCCCCACTTGCCTCCAAACCTCCCTAGCAGCCTTGCAATCACGGATTACATGAAGAGTAGTTTCCTCTGTATGATGGCAGAGCTTGTAGCATGGTTTAGTTGTTAAATTTCGCTTGAAACGATTAACATTACACATGATTCTGTCATGAAGAACAAGCCAGAGAAAAGCCTTTACTCGTTGTTGCACCTTGAGACGCCAAACAAGGTCCCATGAGCCATCCTCCATCTCATCATTGTTGCTTCTTATAATCTAAATTACTGATTTTATTAAGAATTTACCCTTTGCATTACATTCCCAATAGATCAGATCTGCCTCCTCTGGGTTCTTGATAAGCGCATGAGCCTCAATTTCACGAATGGTGCTTTGGGGGAGCAAATCTTCAAAAATATGCCACTTCCAACCCCCTTTACTATCCCACATTTCTTCCACGGTTGCTCCTTGGATATCAATGGGAATGTCTGCAATTGCTAGCTCACGGAGAGGGGAGGAAGATATCCACCTGTGATCCCAAAAGAGGGTGGCAGCCCCATCACTCACCGCAACTCGAGTTCCCTTGGAAAGAATTCCCGTATTTTCAGTTATGCCTTTCCAAACTTTTGACATATTCGACTTTGCTTCAAACATGTCTAAGTCACATCTACAATGGCAATACTTGCTACGAAGCACTCTCGACCAGAGTGCGTTAGGCTCCGTTAACACCCTTCAACCTAACTTTGTCAAACGCTACATTCGCTTGTCTAGAGGAACGAATGCCCAGACCTCCACATTCTCTCGGCTGCTATAAAACATCCTAAGAGATTAAGTGAATGCGTCTTTTTTCATCATCACCTCCCCATAAGAATCGTCTTGTTCTCTTGTCGATATCATCACACAATAATCTCGGAATTCTTGCCGTTTGCATAGCATAATTAGCCATAGTTGAGATAGTCGATTTTGCCAATGTAATTCGGCCAACCTTAGATAAATATTTAGACTTCCATCCCGATAACCTACGGTCAATTTTTTCGCATAAATAACCAAAGGTTTCTTTTGTGACCCTACTCGTGAGCGTGGGCATACCCAAATAAACTCCTAGATCGTCAGTTGAATCAATACCCAAGGCAGTGCTAATGCTTGCAATATCATCAGTATTCATATTTTGCGAGAAAAACACACGGGACTTTGGGAAACTAATTTTCTGACCTGAAGCAGAGCAAAAACGCTTCAAACATTGCTTGATAACCCCTGCCTGCTCAACACTTGCTTCGGCAAACAAGATTATGTCGTATGCGAATCATAAATTCGAGAGCTTTGGTCATCTTTACTCGCTTTAATTGGTTTCCAATTCCCAGTTATAATCGACACCTCAATAATCTGATTTAATCGTTCCACACGTAAAACAAAGATGTACGGGGACAATGGATCACCTTGACGAATACCCCGGCCCGGACAAAAGCTTTGAGTAGGTTCACCATTCCACAAGACTCTCATTGAAGAAGAGGATATACATTCCATTATGACATCACCATTAAACTCGGAAATCTGATTTTTGAGAGCGTATCTTTAATAAATTCCCAACGCAAACTATCGTACGCCTTCTCGAAGTCAATTTTAATAGCCATGAAACCCTTCCTACCTTTCTTATTCTTCATAGTATGCACGACTTCGTGAACTATAACAATGTTATCAGTGATTTAACGGCCCGGGAAAAACTCATTTGAGTACACGAAGTCAAGTGAGGCATCATTGGCTTAATCCTATTCACAATAGCCTTTGTAATTATTTGTAAGTCACATTACAAAGGCTAATGGGCCTAAGTTGAGAGGCCAATTCCGGATTTTCAACTTTCGGAATAAGGACTATAAAAGTATCATTAAGAAAATTCGGTATCCTTTCCCTGAAAGAACCTCCAATGCTAATTTATAAACATTATTAGCGACCATATCCCAGTTTTTTTTGGAAGAAAAGCTCTTGAAAACCATCCGATCCCGACGCCTTAAGAGCCTCCATATGCTTCACCACATTCTCAATTTCACACTTATTGTATGGTCTGGATAAAAGATCCCAATCACGAGCATTAAATTCAGGGAAAATATACCTGGGTAAATCATCAAAACCACTAGCCACTTCACTTTGGAATAAATCCGTAAAATAATTGACAATATGGGCTTGGACATCATCTTTACTGTTAAGCAATCCCCATCAAGAGAAGGTTTGATAGTCGAGATTTTATTCCTCCATCGTCGAGCTATGGTGCTTAGGTGAAAAAAGGTAGTGTTCCTATCACCATCCCGTATCCAGCCAACACAAGTTTTCTGGTACCAAAGTAATTTGCTCAAGAATAATACCAAGTTCCTTCCGCAACTTGCCTTCCAGTTTAATGAGGTCACGGGCCTTCTGTAATGCTAAGGCTCGTTGAACTCCAGTAATCCGGGCCATAAGGGTTTTTTCTTTTTTAAAAAAGATATTATGGAATGTGTGTTTGTTCCACTCTTGTAATTTCCCAGCTAGAGTATTAAGATGTGGCACAAGCGGAGCCTCTTTGCTCCAATGTTCTTCAATAAAGTCACGAAAATTTTAATGGGTCATCCAAGCCGCCTGAAACTTGAAAGGCCTATTAACTTCCGCAATTCGGTACAAACACATTCGGAGAAATAAGGAGAGGACAGTGATCCGATTGTATAGCAGCAAGGTGTTTGACTGAGGCATGAGGGAACCGCAAGCTCCAATCCCCATTACATAAGGCACGGTCGAGGCGAGCACTCTTTCAAGTATTAACATTATTCCCACGAGACCAAGTATGCGAAGCTCCACTAAATTCTAATTCCAAGAGACTCATATCTTCAACCCATTCGTTGAATATAGCCAACCTCCTAGTGGTTTCCGGGAAGCTAGAGGCTTCTCTCCCAACCAAACCTCGTGTCATTGAAGTCACCTGCCAGAAGCCAGGGTTCATTGTGATGTTCAGCAAAATCTTTTAATTCCCTCCAAAGCTCTTGTCTTTTTGAGGGGTCAGGGCTAGCATAGATAGCCAAGAAATACCACGGTTCACCGAAAACACGCCTAATGCTCATAGTAATGTGTTGACCATGTTTGATTATAGGTTCAACCAAAACAAGATCCGGCTTCTAAAATATCCAAATACCTCCGCTAAATCCCTGAGCATCAACACGAGTATGCTCGAGGTAGCTAATAATTGAGGAAATCCTTTCAGCTTGAGCCCCCCCCCCCCCCCCATGTGGGTTTCAATAAGTGCAATAACATTACGCTTATTAATTCGAACAATTTCTTTAAAAGCAGCAATAAATTCTCTAGTACCCGCCCCTTGCACGTTCCAAATCATGCAAGAAATTGGTAAGTAATGAGGAGCCAAGTTCGGTAAAGTGTCTTCTGTTTCGGGGTTTTTTGATGTCCCGCGGGAGAGTTACAATTCCAAAACTGACTTGGACGTCTGTACCTGCAAAACAACGGAGACTCCGGTGGATGGGAGTTCTACCTCCGACGATCAAGTTAGAACGTGTATGAGGAGTAAAGTGCGGAAAGTAAACGGTCTCTCTTGCTCAGTTCGAGGTGTTAGGAGTCTGACTTTCTCTGATTGAGAGGTAATGTGAAGTAAAATAATTTTTGAATGAGATATTCCTCAGAGGGAAACATCTCTCTTATACAGCATTGGAAAACATGCTCAGTAGTAAATCTAAGCCTGACTGGGCTTTGCCTAGGAATTTGGGCCGTAGAAGACTACTTCCTGATGGGCTGTATGTCTGCCACGTGTCGTGGCCTGATTGGTCCACCCTGGACCTCTCACGAGGTGACACGTGGCGGACTCTGGTTGGTCCACATGGATGACACGTGGCAGGACGTGAGTGGTCCACGTGACGGGGAAAAATCCCCTAATCATCTTCCATTAAAACAGGTGTACAAGTTAACGAGTTTAGATAAGCATCACTTAGAAGTCTGAGAATACGACTTACTTCAGGTGGAGCAAGAATGTTCACCACTAATTCCGGGAGGGGTTCGATCCAAGTGTTCATTCGAACTTCCATCACATGTATCAGGGGGTCGGCTGTGATCAAATAGGCCATGTCCATCACCTGTCCCGCACATATTGTCTTCTCCGGTGGAATGTGAAGGTCGATCACCTCCCTGGAGTATTGACCCATGCTGGAATTCTTCACTCGGGTCCTCTGCAACAACCTCATAAATATCTTCGTGAACTGGCTTATTGAGGGCCTGATTAATGGGCTTTTGGGCAAAGAAAATTATATTTTCCTTGTCAGGGTAAATATTGATAAATTGTGAATCATTGTTTACTTGTGGAGAAGTAAAATTTACTATAGGCTGTAATGGGATAGAATTTTTATGAGTTATCTTTTTTTTTGGATATTTTTTGAATTCATAGGATTTTTGGAAATTATTCTTGTTACCTTTTTTATTTCCATCTAGATGGAAAGAAATCTCTTTAGGGTCTTTTTGCGATATATCTCCAAGATTCACTACCATATTCTGGCTAGGATTAGAATGAGAGATATTTGCCGAATTATTCGCAAGATCTTTAGTCGCCAAATCTTCTAGATGAATATTATTCTGTTCACTATCCTCCAAATCAGCTTCCTGATTAAGCGCTGAAAATCCTGACCCCAACTCCTCGGCTACTGAATTTTTGAAATTTTGTTTTGGCGCTCCTTGGTGTTTGGTCATCGCCACCACAACACCACCTTCTTTCCCACCCCCGGTAACAGTTTTTTCCATCCGAGGATTTCTTTTACGCACTGGTTTTTTAACCAGCATCCAGGAGCTTAAATCATATTCTTGTTCCGGCTTCAGATCTTTAGCTTGTTCTTCTCGATCAATTGTTTGAATAGGCTCATTAAAACGGTCAACTATCATATCATCATTCGAATGGGTAGAAGCACATTGCTCTTCCGTATGTCCTAACTTCCCACACTTATAGCTTATTAGCTTAATCCCTTCATACTAAACGCGCCAAAATTTTCCTTTAAGCCAAAATTTCGATAGCAAAGGCTTCGAGATATCAATTTCCACACTAAGCCTGGTAAATTGTCCCCTCTCCGCATTGTCGACCTATCAACTCGAACCACTTTGCCAATTTTAGCTCCAATTTTCATCAAAAAATCCTTATCAAAGTACTCCACAGAGAGGTTAGGGATTCTAACCCACGCAGTAAGAACCTAAATTGAAGCTTCTTCTGGAATGAAATTCGGAGACCATTTCCTAACTGTGAAATACTTATCATCAATTAGGTTGGGATCGACGATGAGAGTATCATGCCGGAAGTGGAGTTTGCCGACAATGACAATGCCAAATGTAGGTGAGAGAATCATCGTTGGAGAAATTACGAAAATACCCCCGGGTGTACCTTCCTTAAGGTACTCCCGGGAGTATATAACAGGTGCTCTATTGAAACAAAGAGTATTAATTTCAACTTAGTTTTATTTGGATGAATTATAATGATAGGTCACGGGTTTTGATCATGTAACCCAATGCAAGTTAATTTTGATCAATGGCTTCCATAACTTCTTTGTCATGAGAACCAAAACCATAAATGATGATGCTAAAATCAACAATCAAGGTCTTAAACAAGAGTATGTAAATAGTATAAAAAATAGAAGTACGTAGTTACATACTTTCCTAAAAGTTAACCCTAGTGCTATGAGGCTAGCTTCGTATACATTGCAAAACAGTAAGATTACAAATTATAGTTTACAAATTTTGTACACCAGATGGACCAATATGTAAATTGGCTTCCAAACCTATCGTAAGATATTAACCTTAGCCTCAGTTTTCTATATAATCGCGCATCTTAGTCATCTGTCACACTACAGACAAATTGGATGGCGAAGATACAGTCTAGTTGCTACAAATATACAAGTAATTGTTTGCTCCAAAATGCCTCAATAAATAAATGTAATCGCTCAGCTTGTATTCTACTGTTGACTGGGGCTGCGGGTTGTTCCTTTTGGTCATCATGTGAGTAAAATAGAACCCAGGTAGTGGAAAAATAAAGTAAGCGTTGGTATCAGTATAGCCACCCTAGTTGGCAACAAAGTTTGCCATCAACACAGGTTTCTTTCTGCGACAAAAGAGGCCATAGCTACCAGCTACCATTCCAGGTTTCTTGCTGCGACAGAAGAGGTCATAACTACCAGCTACCATTTCAGCAAGTACCTGTAAATATGCTTCACAGCAACAACATAAAAAGTACAGAGATCATTTGTAAATTGTTGAAACCACAGAGAACTTGTGCGATATTAGCTAAACCATAACACCTGCAGTTTGCCATGAACAAAGAGATACTGGAAGCAATGGGTATGGGTTTGGCTATATATATTTGAAGTTTATCAGGGACTAGACCAAAAACATGTTTATCTTGGGACACAAGACTATATCACATACCTAGAAACCCAAAATAAAAAAAGTAATGCAAACTGCCAAGGTTCATTGCGAAGTGCCAAGACACCAACTGGATAAGATAATGAAATATATTATGATTGTTTTCAGTCATAAGCGAACGATCCAAATATATGAGTATATCTCTGATTCATGCATAAAGATATGGTTGAGTTTGATCACTTTGACAATATATGTTTGTCACAAGAACATATAGGTGCTTAAGTGATTATGCAACTTTATAGGTGCTTGTTGCAAATCTTGCAATAGATGGCTCTTCTAAGGCGATATATATGATAGGGGCAGTCAGTAGGAACAAAGTCATGCAGAACTTTGTAACGAATCAGGCTAATACACCAAGGGTGGAGACAAGCAGCAGCGAAAAAGGACAGCAGGGCAGAGACAGACAGAAGTCATTAATGTTCCGCTAAGGCCTTGAGTAACATGAATTGGGCAAACTGATTTTCTGATGTAGTAGTGACAAATCTAATTAATGTTAGGGTTCCTAACAATTGCTTTAGTATAGATAGGGGATAGGATATGCACAAGGGGATTTTATGAATTGTGAGGAAATATGTTGAGAGTAGTAACCTCAAGTTACTAGGAGAGTGATAACCTGAAGTTATCAAGAGAGTGATAGCCTCAAGCTATTAACCTATCCTTTTGTAACCTTTCAGCCATTATCAATAAAAATATAAAGCTTTCACCTCTATTAATCCTTAGTATTCATATAGTATTTACAATTAGAAAATCAGTCTATAACAAACTTTATACTTAAAAATATAAACCATGTAATACAAGATGTAAACCCAACTAACTACAGAGTAATAAACAATATGCTCAACAAGAAACACAAAAGGATAAAGCAAAATGTTAGAAATAAATAGATGAAGCAAATATTAACAATGATAATGGTGCTGTTTATTCTCCAAATTGTAATGTGAGCATTTTCATTTTGTATGTGATAAACCAAACTTAAAAATTTTCACACTTACCATGCACACATAACCTACATGTATGGAGTATTAGACTTAATACCTTTAAATAACACCTAATAAATAATTAGATCACCTTTTACAAAGCTTGAAAAGCATTACAGAACGTTTCAAAAAATACATATGGGAGTGGACATAGACATGGATTGATGAAGTAAAACCAAGTGGTTATAGATGATGTGAAAGATTAATACTACAACCAACTTTAACAGAGCCTTTATAACAATGATGGGGTGAGCTATATGAACTAAGAATTTCTATCTTGTAGTCTTCAACCAAGATCCTCTCAATGCACTTCTACAAATTCTTGTAACCTCATTTTCTTTGTATTTATTCCTTACCCCTTTTATCCAAGTCATCCTTGGTCTCCTTCACCATCTACCAGATCTTCATGATTTCAAGTCAACTTTATTCCTGCTCCCTTTTATCCAAGTCTTCCAACTTCGGCTTCTACTAAGATCTCCATGATCTCAACTCTACTTTTCTTACTAGCTCATTTTTTGGTTTGTCTTACTTGCCCAAATCAACACAAATGATTTTATCTTAATTTATTATCATTGTCTACAACTCTAACCCTAACTCCAGCCTTAATTTTCCCCCAAATATCTTTAGTCCTAATTTATCCCGTAAAGTATTCCCACGAATCAATTTTAACTTATCTCTCCTATCTTCCAAATATGACCCATCCTAGATGCCTAATATTCTAAATCAATAACATTGGTGGTTTAATACCCATCCAATAAAGCTTTCCTTTTTACCTTGAGGTATATACAATCACCAGACTCAATTCTATGAATCAAAAATTAGTCAATATCTCCAATCCTATGCAGAATCGACCATAGGTACAGAGTACTTGAAACACTCACTTTAGGGAAAATCCTTACCAAAACCCAATACCTAGGTTGTTGTGACTCGAAATTTTGGTCAAAATATCCATTCCTATAGACAATCGACCCAAAGTATACAAAACACTCACTTTTGGACAAATCCTTACCATCCAATGTTACTATATCATTACTTGACTCCCACTTAGTACTAAAATGACATTCCTTAGTACTCAATTTTGCTTCGACTTAGTTTCAACCACTGAGATTTCAACTTTTAATCTCCATTGCTCCAATTCAGCATCTACTCTAACTCTAATCTCGTCCACTAATACAGTGTCATCCATAAACAACATACACCACAGTATATCATCCTGGATAGACCTTGTTGATTCATCTATATTGCTGCAAAGATGAGGGGACACAATGTAGATCCTTGGTGTAGTTCATTCATAATAGGAATATCCAAGTCATTACATTTTTCACGGCTCGAAACTTATATCTAACTACGTCAATATGATCATGTGAAAGATTAATGAGTATGGACATTAATCTAACTCTACCCAATGCTTTACTATCCTTAAAAAAAGGAACTAGAGGACGGGGAAGGGAAGTAAAAATGTTTCCTAGATAGATCAATATCAATGGAGTAATCTAATCCTCTAAAACTCCCAAAACAGGGAGAAGCTTTGATAAAATCACTGATTGAGAAAAATATTTCGATTCTTAGGTTGCTAATGTTGAATTGGTTTCACTACACTAACAATGCAACAAATGTGATAGGTGATTAGAAAGAAAGTCAAGATGGGGTTTCAAGATTTGAAATACAACACCCAAAGATGATATGTGGAGGGGTTATATGATCTGATGGAAGAGAGATAATAGGGGCTTAAAGAAGATAACATCTTTGTAATACATGATTAAAAGATAAATGAGAGCCAGAATTTTCAAGTAATTATTCAGGTCATCAATTGTCTCAATAAGGAATAAATCGGACTATAGAATGCAAGTAATTTGTAATTGCAAACATGTATAGCAACAAATGGGGGTGCGTGATGGCTATCAAAGTACTCCTTAGCACTCAAAGCTATTTATGTGTTAAATTGATACTTGAATACCTGATAGGTAAAGAGATTTATTTTCCAGCTAAGCAATAAGCTCCAAACAAAGCAACGAGCCAAATGGTTATTCTTAATTCCCATATCCAAGACCTTCTAAGGACACTGCTTTCCATCTTAGTGATCCTTGTGCAGTTACCACTTTTCCTAAAGAACAACAAATTATTTATAGTTATACAAAGCATTTCCTATTGCAATACAAAGTGCAGCATTTATTGTTTCTACTTTTGTAACAAACAACTCTAATGTTGCACATGATAAGGATCAATACATGATTGACCAAGTATATATTGATATTTATCATTAAACAATTTATTTTACCACCAATAAAAATCCAATGTTGTAAAATTTAGGGAAAAAAACCATCTTACAATTTATTGAGGGGCCAACAACAACCTAATAAGACATTATCTATGCAAAATACTACCTTTTAGCTAAAATTAAATTTAGGCCTTGTTCTCTTCATCTTAAAATAATAATATTATGTAAAAATAAGTTAAGTTAATAAAAAGAATTCAAGTTCAGTAAAAATAAGGTTTTTTTAGCATAATAAGTCAAGTTTAGTAAAAATAATTTATTTGTAGTAAAAATCAGTAAATTTAAAGAAGAAATATAATAGAGAATCAGTAAAATCAATTTAAGTTCTACAAAGATAATTTCAATTTAGTAAAATTAATTTCAGTGAAAATTATTTCAGTTTAGCAAAAATAATTTCACTTCAGTAACAATAAAAAATAAGGTGAAGTGAACAGGATCTAAGTTTTAATCAGTATAAATAAGTAACTTTAAAAATCAAATATAATAACAAATCAGTAAAAATTAAGTTCTAGTCTATAAAATAATTGAAGTTCGACAAAAATGCTTTACATTTAGTAAAAATAATTTAACTTCAGCAAAAATAATTTAAGTGCAGTAGGCCTTAGTATAATTCAATTAAAATATCATATTCAATAGTTATTGGCTTATCACCCAAAAATAAAATAAAATAATCACAAAGTAGTTTTTGAGCAAGACATGTACTTATACGGTACATTTAGCTAAATACAAAATAATATGTAAAGCAGGCCATTCAAGCTGATTTTGCTTCTTTCCTAAAAAGGAATTTCAATACTCCTTCCATCCCAAAATACACTTTACTTTTTTCCTTTTAAAATTGTCCGATATTGCTATATACACTTCCATTTTGAGAATGAACCCGCCAATATATTATTTTTACCTCTCTTCCCACTACTAAAATGTTCGACCCCACAATATCCCATTGACACTTACAGTCCTACTACTACTAGCTACTACTACTTATTTAATACAAAAAATAACAATTGATAACCACACAACCATTATCACCTATAAGTTTGAGCAAACTGCAATGGTGAGAGGGCCAGAGGAAGTAACAAGGGAACCAGCCTTGTCAACCAGTGGAGAGGTTAAGAGAGGGGGGAGGGGGGGGGGGGGGACTTCATAATTTCATATAGACACCATAGTTTCTGATGCTGGAGGCCAGCACAAGGACTAGAGAGACCACTACTTAACCCCATCCACCTGAAATCAAGATGTGATTGTCATAATCACACTTCCAACCTAATGGCTTGTGCATGGTGGCTTACAATTGAGTTTCAGGTTCTAATAGTTATATTTCTGGGTAACAGGTAGTAGCTTGTAATAAAACACAAACAAGGGTTGTGGATGCAGGGGTAATCTTACTGATCCATCCCAATTCTTCTACTTGGGGATCAGTTACACAATTCTCTATTCATACTTGATTATTTTTCTTAAAAATAAATATACCCAGTCAAGATTATAGATACTTTTATCTAATTTAAGAGGCTTCTAGACAAATTCATTGCACAGGTACTTCATGTAATAGGATGATAACAAAAGACCAAATTATTACCATCAGTCAGCCGTCCGTGCCTCATTTAAGAGGCAAATTAATATGTATTGTGCACTCATGTATCAGGCTTCTTCAAGTGTTGTTTGTTGTAAATGTTAATGTCTTGCCAAGAACAAAAGTAACCATAGTGAGTTCAACACAGAATATTGTATCCATGAATGCCCTATTCACTGTCCATCCAAAAATGGTCACTCCACCAGGGTTGGCCTGCATATACATGACTTCAGAAAAAAAGAATAGTGAGAAATAGATGATTCTGTATGAATTACAATTCAGCATAAGTGTAAATTAGCACTAGAAACACACACCAAATGCTTGTCTTTTGAGATATGAAGACACCTTTGGATTCAATTCTACATTCATAGATGGTAACATGTAGTCAACAGACTCCATGTCACTCTCTGGGTAGTTCATTGATGCAATTGCTGAACCAGCAAAATTAAAGTTCCCACCATTTTCTGATGCCCTGAGAGTCTCATTTGAATGACATGTTAGTAGTGCATGCCATCTGCTAGCAAATGATGCCAGGCTTTCAGCTCTATGCGATATTTTTGCAGCAGCATGAAGACAAATAATTATTCCGACTACCTGAACAATGGAGGAGATCTGCAAGTTGCCATTACTAAAAGTAAGTAGAATTCCATAATAAATTAGAGCATAGTAAAGTTTGCAAAAAACAATTACACATGCAAATGAATGGCGCAGTACAACATTAGTAGTAATATATAATACAACATTAATAGCTAGTACACGGCTAAACTTCAATTTATCTTTCCAGATGCCTTATAAAGAATCATGGATATTTGTAGATACTTTAGCAGAAGCATTGGATAGGCAACAAAAATATAGAGTCCAGAACTTGTTGTCTAAGTAGCTTCTAAGCCATATGTAGCATAAGAAAACAAAGGAAAGAAAAACACTGCCTCATATTGTAAAGGTGCTGTCAAGAAATTCTTCAGTTTCCATATATTCAAGGGCACACTTAAAATTGAGACTTACTGCAAAATCCGCAGCATTTATGAAATTGATGGTCCCACTGTTCCCTGTCGTTTCAAGCAGAGTCACAACTTGACTAGCAGTTACAATCAAGAACTCCAATATAAGGAAAATTCGGAATCTGTGACTTATTTTGGACAGATTAAATGTAAGACGACTGTGCTCTTCAATATATACTAAAACATCCAAATTCCTTTCCAAAAGCTTCTTGTAGTTCTCAAAGTGTATAACTTGTAAACTGCAGACCAAACTGAACAAGGTGCTTCCAGTCAGGTACACTGTAGCAGTATAAGTCCAGGAAACAAGCAAAACACACACAACCATCATAGATTGCACCAGTGAATCATTGTGGACATATATAACCCTAACAACCTCCCGTGCCATCTTCAAGATAACGCATGGCAATACCCATACAGCCAGCGAGCGAAAGAAGTCCTGAAGAAAATTGACAGCAGCTCAATTGTTTATCACACAAGCTTTGATGAATTTCTCTATCCCGCCTAAAAGATAAAACGAAATTACAGAAAACATGTGTATATGAGGCATAAATAATGTCACTGACGTAGGACACATGGTAATGCAAAAGCAAAATCTCTAGCAATTGCAAGTCACAAGCAGAGAAAACATAGTGAAGACGATGTAAACACAATACATCTCTGATTCCTCAACATAATCTGCGATGTAATTAGTTCTAAGGTGATTTGTACTTGTGTTGGGATTTTATATTTCCTAGAAATTGTTTGTAAGTGCCGTTTGGCTATCTTTTATTAATGAAATCCTTTTTCTTCTTGTCAATATAAAAAAAAAACATAATCTGCTAAGGTCAGACCATGATAGATAGGGAAAAGAATTAGAAATAGTTCTTGCTGAATTACATCTAACCACTGCAATATGACACTTTCTCTAATTGTCATGGAAGTATATCATAATCACAAAAGCACAAGTATGCTTAGTCATCTACATTTCAGTATATGAGCAGAGTTTATACAGTTTCTAATGGTCTCACAGATTGAATCCAGAAGAGCTAAATACATGTCATTCCAAACAAATTATATTTCTTGATTGAAAAAAAACCAAATGTTAATGAGAAAGGATAATTTTTTCTTTGGATATCCGTTGACATTTAGTAAAACTTTACGCTACAATTTGTACCACTGAACTTACTAAAGAAGCATTTAATTTTGTAATTCACTTTTTGTTAGAGCACATGCATCAAATTGAGAAGACTAGACTAACAGCTACAAATATAAGTCATCTTAGCCCCCTTCCATCTATTGTGCAGTTAATAAAGAGTAGCTATAAAGATGAAGCACCGAATTGTATCTTAGAGGGTGAAATTTTCTGAAATTGTGAAAATAGGGAAATAAAATAGTTATCAAAGAGTTCAAAATTGTAAGATTTTAAGGAACAAGTTAAACATAAAACATGTCTTTCTTAAAAACTACCCAAGCCTAAAAATTATCTTTAAGGTTTGAAGTAGAGGCAGACCTAGCATGAGCCTTCCATACCCTTAAATTTTTTGAAACATTTAAAGACCATAAAGAAATTCTACGGTTTAGCTGATATTTTTTTGATGTCAATAAAAAATTCTACCTTATTTAATTATTTTTGTCAAATGATATCTTGAATTAAAAAATCTATTAAAAATAGCACCTTAAGCCAATTTTCCAGCCATAAAGTCAAGATTCCGGTAGTTGACTCCTACTTTCCCACCAAAATTATGAGAGCGCTCTACACGTACACTAATGGTTCACGTGCATTCTCTCTTCTACATTAATGAAAGACTAATTCTAAAAATTCAATCTTCCCTGTCCAATTCAGAGATGATCTTGAATATTGGGTTTTAACACCTGCTTGGATGAAATGATTTTTTTCCCTATATTATTCCCAAACTGCAATACAGTTTGTACATAATGGTCGCAAAATTACAAAATTTGCACCTTCAACCATTTCACAATAAGAAATGACTTCATACTACATGGTTACAAAATCACCTAATTATATCAATAAATACTTCCTCTGTTTTTTTTAGATGCATCATTTGCAAAAATACGAACTCCTAGGCATATTTTGGAGATAAGAGAGATATAGAGAAAGAAAACAAGAGGACCCAAGTGATATGAGAGAGCTAGAAAGAATTTATTAACTAAAAGGATAAAGGAAAGTGATGTATCTAATTTGAAACTTCCTTATTAAGAAAATGATGCATCTAAAAAAAAACAGAGGAAGTACACTAAAACTACTTAGGCTAATTGTTTTATCACCACCCAAAAGCAAAATACTTGTCTAGAAAATTAATCACAACTTCAACAAAAACTTAAAAATACTAATCTGGGATTAACGCTAATATCACTCATCACATCAAGGTCATCAACTACTTGTGAAGATGGAGGTGCTTGGGATGGCTTCAACTTGCCTATATGGAAGTTTGCTTCTTGATTATGGATGAGTTCTTTTTGGAAGATTTCAATTCGGTAAAAAATTGTGTTGTAAATATTTATTTATTTATTTTTAACACAAAGGCATGTTTTGCACGCGCATATTTACAACATAAGTGGGAAATTAGAAGTCTATGACCGGAATCTTGAGGTTTTAGCCGGAAAATTAGCTTTAGACACTTTTTAATCAATTTATTGATTCAAGGCACAATTTGACAAAAAAAAAAAAAAAAAAACCATTAAGGTATTCACAAACTCAAACAAAAAGAAGGTATCTTTTGACAATTTTGCATTATTGATTTTAGGTGATTGAGAAAGCAATCTAAGATTCTAACTCAGGCAAAATCTAATCATAGTTAAGCGAAACACCACCAACCAAACTCATTACGTTTGATGACATTTTACACGTTTGGGGATATGTCAAGATGGGGTGCAATACAGGTTATTTTACCTAGAACAGACAATTATATGGTATAAAGTCCCCCCTATTAGCACAAATTTGAATTATAGCCTTAAAAATTTACATACTCCATATTGCCATATGGAATTCCAAGACACACCATTGGGTTTGTACGGCTCATGATTACACTAAAGAAAAACATCAATCCTAGATCAGATCAATGTCTTTGATACCTCGCAGCTGGATTTCAAGAAACATAATTACACACACAAGTACTCCATTAGATTATCAAGGTGCCAAGAAAACTAACTCTCTGAAGAGGAGCGTGTTCAACTCATTATATATTATTAACAATCTCCTTCTTCCTCATTTTTTATTTTTACTCTAGATCTCTCATAAGTTACAAGTCTTACAACAATCACTTTAATTAAGTAACCAAGCAATATTAACCACTTCAAATATCAATAGATGGCTTTTTGAGACATAATACTATAATAGTACAACTTTTGTCGCCATTGAATTTCTTTATTTTAGGCTCTAGGGTAAGAAAAGAAGCATCACAAAATAAATTTTGTGATCCACTCCTTAGTACAAGAGTACTTCTCACTTCCATAAACAAATACTCCCTTTATCTCGTAATAGTACAACTTTTATCGCCATTGAATTTCTTACTTAGTTTTTAGGCTCTAGTGCAAGAAAAAAGGCATGTACCACATAATTAATTTTGTGAACCACAACCTAATACAAGAATACTTGTCACCTCCATAAACAGCTACTCCTTCCTCCCATAACATAGTGTCATTCTTTAAGTGACACTACCAAGTACCAGCTGACATAGTCCATTACAAACTTCTATTTGTGGGGCCCACATCCAATTTCCTAGCTTGCTCTAATTCTTTAAATCTTTTTCAACAATTCAAATTCATCAGCAACAATCCATTAGCAAAAGCAGCCTAAAACATAGTAATATCCCACAAATTCTAACTAAGTTTTGGCCAGGAAAAACACATACTAAAATGAAACTAAATTTCTCTTTAAAATAACAATATATAACAATTCAAAGCATTAAATTGAAAAGAATAGAGTTTAATAAAAAACTTACATTGATTTTGGGGATATACTCAAAATGAAATTCATCACCAATTTCATGATACTTATCAACAAAAAGAAAAATCCTGAGCCCATATTTTCTAAAACTCCGCAAAAAACAAAGCAACGAGACCGCAGCAGCAGTAGCCTGAAAAAACAGCGTCTCCAGCTCAAAACTTTTGACATGATATTTCCGGCATGCGGCAACATCGGAAGAGCCGCAGTAGAAGAAGATGATGACAAGAGAAGGAGCGCCAACACCGAAAAATAGGAAAGAGAGGGAGGAGAGAGAAAGTGAAAAGCGGGAATCATGGATGAAACCCAGAAATCTAAGGAAGAGTTCTATACGTCGGAGAGAAAAGTGTAATGGAAGAGTTGGGGTTTCTGGTTGTGTATCTGGGTTGTAACATCGGTCCTGTAGAGGAGAGTAGTGTGATGTTGAAACCGCCATTGTTGGAAGCTTGGAGTGTAAAGAGAGAAAGAGGGTGCTTGATTCTGGGTTTAATTTGATAGTTGATTGCATTTGATTCATTGTTTGGGAAGTTGAGATTTCATTTTTGATTTTTCTGAAGGTTACTTGGATTGTGACATGATCGATTAATAGCGCCTTTCAACAATTTTATATACAGTAATTATCAGAGTAATTATTTTAATAGCTACAAATGTTAAGCTTTTAGTCAAGCCAAGCTTGAAATTTTTAATTAACTAGAGTATGATTTTTTTTTTATTTTTTTATTAAACCATTTATTAATTTTTAAAATTTGGGTTAGTAAAAAAAAAACAACATAAAGTTTCCAAAAAAAAAAAAAAAAACACCAAAATAAAGTTCACAGGAGCATTTACCTAATACAATTTTTTTTTTTTTGAGACAACCTAATACTATAATTGAATAATGTGTATCTTGTACAATAATGTAGAATACAAGTATTATGGAAAATAGTGTAAAAATTTTCCTATAAAAGAGCAAGTTTACTTATTGTGAACAAGGCAAATATTACAAAAACTCTACTTCAATGTCTACTTTCTACTAATTAATTTCTTTCTATCATTAAGAGTTTTTACACTTTAAAATTAATGAGATATCATAGAATATTATTGATATTATCGTATCCTATTTTTGTGAGGATATTTATTTGCAAATATTAACTTCCTAATATTCTAGATGATCTTTTATTCTAGGTAAGAAGATTGTAACTACTATATATTTTCATGATGATCAATAAGAAAGCTAAGCCATTCAATTCTCTTTATCTCTCTATTTTGTCATGGTTTCAAGAGCAGGTTAAATTTTTTTAACAATCAACCATGGCTAGCGACAAAACACCACCACTGCCACCTCCACGAAAAATTGAACCCAATTCACCCTATTTTCTCGGACCTCAAGACGACCCGTGGACTATTGACAAGATCTAGTCGTATCACCAAATCAAAAAAATTACATAAATCCTCTAGCTAAAGCAGATAGGGAAATAGGGTCGAATCCACAGGGAAACAAGTCTTTCTATTCCTAAATAATTAATATAATCTAAACTATCAAGCAACCAAGTTGTTTTGAGAGAATTAAACTAAGAAGAATAAATGAACTAAAGCAAAATTAAACTAAGGAAAAATCAATAGATCAAAGCCTAGGGTCTAGGTCAACCAATAAATAATATTCTAGGGAAGAACACAATAATCAGTCATCAATGCATCAATTAATCAGATCATAAAGGGATTTCGCTACGTATTACAATCACAAAATTAATCTACCGGTTTAAATCGCATCTCTCGAATCTTGACTTAACCATTTATAAATTAACCTGCCTATTGAAACTAAGCCTAAACATTATTTCTCATCTCTCGAATCTCGAATCAATATTGCATAACTCATACAATTAAACCTGGCCAAATCTAATTGCATAACATTAAATCAATCAATAGGAAATCAATCAAGCATTAACAATCATGTCAATCAACAATAATAAATTACCCCTTCATATTATTTATGGATCTCCACAAACCCTAGAAATAAAACTACTCACACATATTAAAATCTAAATCAAACAAAGCAATAAACAAGACATGATTAATCAAAGCAATTAAATTACTGAAAATAAAAGGGAAAGAAATCGTTACCAAAATAAGCAAAAATAATGAATTGCATAAACCAAAAGAGTTGAAAGAACAAGAGTATTAATAAAAAAGCTTAAAACTAAAAATCTGGAAATTAACTAATGGATGACGTCCGCAAATCTCGCTTAACAAAGTGTATTTATACTTAGGCTCCTAAATCCTAAAGTAAAACAAAGTTTAAGTCGCAATAACGCTCCTCAAAAGCATGCGCCCGGTCGGGCGCCATCTCGCCCGGCCGGGCTCGCCTTCGACTGGAAGCCTTCTCATCTCGGCTCGGTCGGACGCGCTTCAGGGCGAAGAGTATTCCTTCCTAACTTCCTCACCCGGCCAGGCGTGCCTCAGGGCGCATGGATACTTCGATTGGCTATTTTCTTGGCCCGATCCGGATTTCCTTTTTGGGTCTCTAACACTCGGTCCATTGCCTAGGTCTCTTCTCAACTGTTGAGCCCTTAATCACCGGTTTGATTGCTCCAACGCGGTCTTGGGCTACGGAATGTGGTCATATGAACACGATCCTACTCCAATGCTCGTAGTGGCTCAAATATATCCGGGAAAAAGCTCTAAATCTGTAATTTCCTATAAAATAATACCAAGGCTACGAAAACACTAGAAAACGCATATTAGTAATAAAAGTGGCTCCGTAGAGCCAAAAGTACTCCTAAATATGACCAAGGAACGGGGGTAAAACACTATATAAAATAAACATATCAAACTCCCTCAAGCCAAACCTTTGCTTGTCCCAAAGCAAAGAGCTCATCAATGAACAAATAAAACATACTTCTCCCCAAAATCAACTAAAACCAAGCATAATCGACTCAAGGCAAATCTAACAAATAGGCATCAAAGTCAACCAATCAAATCCATCCAACTACTCATCCTCCCTAACAATCGTCGAACAAAGCGAACCACAAGTGTATATGGAATTCATGACTAGTGCTCACACACTCTTCACTCTTTTATGTGGCGGATATAAAATGTATTCGATCGCTCTCCATCCAACCCCTTTATGGTGAACAATGCCCTCCCAAACTCACAACACTCGTGTGTTTAAGAAAACAAGCACTCAATCTAGTAGTCGACTCGGAATATGCCAAATCATTATTTGCATTGATAAACAACTAATTTCACATCCATACAACTCTATGCACAAAGGTTAGAAGGTCTTTAAAGCTTGTAAGGTAAGGCTAGGGTAAAAGGGTAGGAAATATTTGGGAAAATGTGAGAGTAAAACCATGCTTAAGGGAGCCAAATCCTAACAAATAACCAAGGTAAAAAATAAATAATGACCAATCATCTCCAACATAACTCAAATCAACTCTACAAAATTCACCAAACATCCAATTATATCAAAAATTCCCATCACTTACAATTTCACTCGTAAAAATAAGACATTACAAAACTTGAGTGAATCAAACAAACTTTGAAACTCTTTTTCTCAACTTGATTTTTTTCATTAGAATTCATTTTTTTTTCTTTTGATCAACCTTCACTTAGAACATTTAAACATTGAACAATTTTCTCTTTTTGCTCTTTTTTTTCTTTTGAAGTTTACTTTCTTTTTTCTTTTCTTTTTCTTTTCTTGAACTTTTTTTTTCATTATGCTTTATATTTTTTTTCAAGAAAATTCAACTTTCAACTCGTCAAAAATAAACCAAAATCAAGAACAAAACAACTTCTAAAAACCACCCAAATTGTGCAATAAATAAGCACACTACAAACTCCTTCACCTCTCTCACTAATAGCTCCCCCAAGCCAAGCTTGGGACTAGTAACCAATGGGGCAAAAACGGCTTGTAATGTGGCTAAACAACAATGAAAAGTCAAGGAAAGAAAATGGGAAGCAAGACGGGAATAAATGTATCTAAAATTATATGAAGGCTACCTAAGAGAACAAATGCCTTCGTCCTCCTCAATGTGCATAATATGAGCCATAAAAACATTACTCAAAGTTAAAAACCAATACTCAACTTCATTGACATACCAGGAACTACCACACAATTCCTAACTAAATCAACTAGTCAAGCACCAAATCCACAAATAGTTGGACAAAGTTGACTCAAATTAGGGCATCAAAGCAATCAAACATCAAATCATGGCTAACCTATCCACAATATTCATCATCATATACCAAGAATCAAAATAATTTACATGTATGGGGCACAGGGAAGCATGATTTACCATTTATTGGTTCGTATTTTTGTATTTTTTTTAATTTTTTAATTTTTCAATTTTTTTGTATTTTTCATTTTTTTCAAAGCAATAAAATCTACACTAGAAAACAATAAAATCTATACTAAACACACCAAAAACAAAAAGAGAGAGAAAAGAAATAAGATACCTCAATCCAAAAATCTCCCCCAAGCCAAAATCAGACAATGTCCTCATTGGCTCGAGAATTAGCCGCAGCATGGCTAATCAGCACCATCCTCATCCATTGTCCCAAATCCTCCACCGCTACCACCTGCACCAGAAGAACTCCCACCAAAGTAGTTAGGGTTAACATTACCCCCTATCCCCCCAAAAGGAAAGTCTTGACTGTAGCCAAAGAATGAGGAGTAGTCTGTGTAAATACCGTAGAAGTCGAGATCCACATATCCCTGGGGTGGTGGTTGGAACTAGTCAGGGTAAAGTGAGTCAGCAGTTATAGCACCACGACGAGCATAGTCGTCGTACATCGGGAAAAGTCCCTTACCCGTGTTCCTCTCAACATATCCCACCCGCTGGTCAAGGGAGCCAACTAACCTCCTAATGTCTCCTACCTATGCCATAAGCTCCCCTAGGTCTCCTCTATTCTACCTATAGCCTGACCTATACTCTGTAGGTCCCAAATGGTCTCGGGGTCTGGCCTAGGCTGGTGAGGGGGTGGTTGAGGCACATGTGGCGGTGACGGAGGCATATGTACCTGGGGCTGGGGCTGTGCCTGTGCTTGGGCAAGCAAAATATCATATGTGTAAGAATGTTGCCTAGGAGGGAAGGCGGTCAACTCTGGGTTAGGGAGAGGGAAAACGGGTATATGATCCTTCCCTACCCTCACGTGCCACTCGAGGACCTGGCGGGGATTAGGCTTAACCCAGTTCAAGCTTTGGAGGTAAGACAAGTTTATATAAGTGCCCTCCCCATAATTGGTCAACCCCTCATAGCTAGTCTCACTAAACCCCGCCTTTTTTATCTCTATCTTAGTGATTAGGCCGCCAAAATGAATACGAGTCTTGACATTTTTACTACAAGCATTAGCATGCCTACTCAAATGGTTGATAAATCAATTTAGCAATGTTCAATTTTCCATAACCAAACACGTAATGTCCTAGGATAGCTAGTTCCAAAGTTTGGGCGTTATGGGGTTTGTGGCGGGCCAGAAAACAAGTCCCGGAAAATCTTTGAAAGATTTTTGGGACAGGATGGTGAAAAGGGAGTGCACTAGCATGCTCAGAATTGGGGCAAGGCTTGCCCGTCAAAGAAAAATATATATCATCGGCCTTATAATCCTCATGCAATCGGGTGGTGGGAAAGGGATCAAGCTCAAACAAATTTGCAAATTCGACATAAGTTAAATTAACATTTCTATTATTTAAACGGAAATGCTAATTGGGGCCATTGTTAGATTGAACTACATTTAGAGAGGATAAAAATTCACATGTTAATTCTCT